AAGGAAGGAAGGTAGGGCAGACGGTCTCGCCTCAACCCGGCGGCGGCTTCTCCCACGCCAGCGCCGCGACGTCCCGCCCGGCTTCCGTAGCCGCGGCCACGCCCCCGCCGACCTCCGCACGCGCAGAGGAGCCCCAGGAGCTTTCCTCCTTTCGGTAAAAGCCACGCCCCTCGTCCCTCGGGCGGCGCGGAGGCTGCGAAGCCCCCCGGGCCCTAGCGCCGCGTCGCAGCGCAGGGCGCTCCCCTCCTGCGCCGGGGGGCTTCTCTCCCTCGGCATCGCCGCGACCCCCGGGCTCCTCCTGACTTTTTCCGACTCACACATTTTGGAGGGAGGGAGGAAGTTCAGTCCTTTCCATTCAATCATATAAAATATAGCCAGATTTTTCTCTACAGGGTTCAAAACCCTCTACCAGGAATTGAACCCGTGGACCGTCGCTCTTTAGATGACCAAACACGCTGCATTCGCCTCCTTAGGAGCTTTGCAGATCCTGGTGCTCAGGGGTTGCAGGAAGAGAGATGCGGACTCTACCAGGACGGTATATACAGTAGAGTCCAGCAGGACCAGGAGGTCCCCCCCCGCGCCCCGCATCTCCTGATGCCTTTGGTAGGCCACGCGGGAAGCCAAGGGCTGGACTAGGGTGGAGCTTGTCCTGGCTCAGCAGGGCTCTTCCTGGCTGTTCTGGCACCCAGACGTGAAGCTGCACTGGCACCAGTGAAAACGGCAGCTGGCCCAGTCAGGTGGTGGGGCATCTATGTGCATCTATGGAAAAAGGGTGGAGATTGGCCCACTGCTGGGTTCCCACCCCCTGCTTAACCAGGGCAGTGTAGGGACTGTTGACTAGATTCACACAACCCACTGCGCTAGGCTCCTCTTAATCTTGATCGCGTGTTGTGTAGCTGAGCAAAGGCAGTCCTTTTGATCCGTGACTCAAGGTACTGTGCCTAGAAAATGAGTTCATTCAGCAGAGCGGTGCTGGACTCCCCCTGGCTGGATGTGTGCAAGTGTTTTCTCTGTGTGTGTGTGTGGGGGTGTGTGTGCTTTAAGATGGCTCCCTGCCCTGAGCAGAGAGTTGGACTAGATCAGTGTTCCTCAATCTCAGCAACTCTAAGACTGTGAACTTCAACTCCCAGAATTCCCCTTGTGGCCTGGGCAATTCTGCAAGTTGAAGCCTACATCTAAAGATACCGAGATTGAGAAACCCTGGACTAGATGGCCTACTGGCTCCAGGATTCCAAGCATGTTGTGTGCACGCAGCCAGAAAGTGTCCTGGCCTGATTATTATGAAAAACAGAACAGAAGAAAATGCTTGTTTCTGACATGACTAATGCTTTAACCATACAGTTGCATGGAGATCATTTCCTGCTCTCTTCGCTGTGGCCCTTGAAGCGTGGATCAAATCCAGAGCCCCTCTACAGTTGGATTCCCTCCTGCCCTGCTTGGCTGACACTTCAGGCATGTCTGAAGGCCTGAATCATCCAGGTTAAGAGCTGGCAAATCCATCGATCCCATTGGCCAGTGGATTCCCCAGCATCCAGCCAAGCAGCCTTGGGTTTGATCAATGTCATTTATTGCATCACTATCTGTTTCCATCTTGTCTCCGGGTTGTCAGGTCCCCTGCCAACAATTCAGCACAGGACCACGCCAATCACATCCCTCTGAGAAGACAGCACAGAACGAACCCTCCTTGGTCTCTCTGGCTCCCTGACTCCCATCAGAAGCATTCCTTGAGCACCAGAAATCTCTCTCTCCTCTCCCCCAAATCACAGGACAGCTGCTGACATTCCCCTGGCGAAAAACGTGACATTCTTATCCTGGATCTTATACTGGTAAATGCGCTGGAGGTCCCTCGCAGCTCTGGATTCCCAGGGACTTCGTTCGATGATCGTCAGCTGCAGCAAGAAAAGAGCTTCCTTAGTTTAAGATCCACCTTCACGGCTTGCTAAAGAGAGAGGAATCTAAAGGCCCAGACAGACAGCGCATATATACAAATGGAAAATCTTAGCACGGTATCTCCATCTGTAGGATGGAGCAGAGCAAACGTGCCTTTTCCTAACATTCACGGAGAGGTTGGAGGTGAAAAAGATTGAACATGGAAAGCACTTCAGAGAAACCAAATTCAGAAATATTAACACTGCCAAAGGAAGCTAGGTGCAGATTGTGAAGAACGCTTAGTCCAGCATTCCATGATTCAGTGCACCCTGAGGTGTTAAGACGATGGCTCCTGTCATCCACAGGCGTGATGGGAGCTGTAGTCCAATGAATCTTCAAAGCCCCAGACTAAAAAAACCTGGATAAACCAACTTGCCTGCTCCATCCAGGAAAGTCAGAGGAGCAAACTCTAGAAATATGCAGAAAGTCTGGATGGGCGAACCAGACTCTGCTTGAAAACATCCAGCGAGAAAGATGGAGGAAGGAGGCAGAGGGGCTCACCTGCCCGTGGACCTCCTTGCAGTAGCCAGTGGCTAGGCCTTCGGCCCACAGAATGCTATTACATTGGTGACGGAGGGACTTCACCAAAAGTTCGTTCTCCTCGTCCTCCGAGTCTTCACTGCTGTGCACCATTAACACCAAGTTCCCCTAAGACAGAAACCATAAATTATTCACTTGTTGACCCTTCAGCCTGAGTCTGGAACAAACCTACAGACACTAGTCGGTGGCTAAACTCTCCAAAGCCTCTGCATCTGCTTGGGATTTACACCCCGGAAAATAATCAGCAGACAGGAAACCAGCTTCAGGGAGTCCATTGTCCTTACCAACATAACCTATAAGTCTCTCTTCCCTTTCCTTTTTCCTAACCCTTTGAACCCAAAATCTCTCAGGTTTGCTCCATTTTCAAACAGTCATGGGTTAGTGTACCCCAGGGGACAACACCCAGCAGGCCCTTTCGTAGGAACCTGTACAGTTGTGGGGCCTGCCCTCTGGGCTCCCAACCTGATGATGTGGCGTAGGATGTGATGACTGTGTTTGTTCCTCCTGGACATTTATGTTCTTTCTCTTTCATTTTATTGTTCTTACTTTTAAAATGTAAGCCACTCAGAGCCATCTAGAGCTAAAACCTCTAACTTCAAATGAATAAATAAATGGCCACTATTGAGACTTTTGAGAATTGAAGTCCATGTGTTTGAAAGGCATCCAGAATGGAGAAGACCACCCTAAAAACCCCTGCCTGAGGGAGGCAGCTAGAGCTGAAAAGACAGGATTGGAAGGGATGGGGAGAGCCCCAAGGAAGCTAAGGGAAAACAAACCCTGGGTTCACACATTAAACTATGGTTGGCAGACCAAACCACTCTGGCTATGGTCACATACCTGATCAAAATTAAGTAAACCACATAACGGCTTAATACCAAATCTGTAGCCAATCACATTCAACTGAGTGGGGAGTGATTGGGACCATAACTCAAGAGCAGAATGCTTACTCTGCAGATAGAAGATCCCAGGATCAAGACCCATCATGGTCATTAAAGAAGGGCCAAGGAGCTGAAGAAAGGAGACAAGCTAAAATGATCCAACACAGATAATATTGGAATAGCTAAGAAAGATGATGTCCTAGTCCAGGGACTTGTAAGACAATGTGGAAGTCAGGGTTAGGGGATAAGATGATTTATGGGGAGGAATTAAAGAGAAGACTGCTACATGAACTAGGCTTTCTTCCAGACCACAGCTATATCCACAGTTAGAAACCTCCCAAGAAAGATAGCTGAGTGTTACCTTCAACTGAGAGTTCACGGTGACCCTGCAATAATGAATGAAATTCAGAATGTCCATCAATCTCACACCCAGGCTCAGGAAGACACTGAGATCATCCACAATAAGCACAGGGCATTTCCATGGGTCTCCACTAGCAGCAGGACTCAGGGCTGTCTGGACAAACTCGTAAAGCACTTTCAGGTTTGAGCCATCTCCACTGCAAAGGAGGGATGGAGAGATGAGGTCAGCAACACTCTGTGGCCCAAATCTTTGGGAAGTATCAGCCGTAGCCAGGTCATCTCCTTGCATGGTCCCAATTCAGTTGCATTTGATGACTCTTCAGTTACCTCTATGGACCAGGGCTCTGCCACTGACCATGTTCAATATCAGCCAAGAAGTTTTAACCAACCACCGGTGTTACTATACCATACCTTCTGTCACATAACTGACATGAACTTTTGTTCCAGAGCACAAAAGCCTATTCCCTCTACTGAAGTTTAGGCACTGAAAAATTGGGGAGAAAAAGAAAATCAGAAACCATCCACTCTCTTAGGGCTTACAAAGTAGCCAAGCAGCAAGAAAGGATGATTCAGTTAGGTTAAGGTGGGACCAATACAATTAAGTGAGCAGGAACCAGCATCAGATAAACAAGAACAAACAAGGAAGAAACCATACCCCAATCAAGTTGGGAGGGCAAGTTACCACATATAAACAGCCAGCAAATTCTACTCCCCCGTGCACTGATGATTGTTACCTAGCCTGGTAATGAAATGTCTGCAGGAAAACAATCAAGCTCAGCAAACACAAGAACCGAACAAAATTAAGTAAATTTGAGACCATCCTTATTCTTCATTCTGGCACTCTCAAGATGTGTTGAATACCCACACTTATTAATGTCCTGCCAGTGGGGACTCTCGGAGATAGTCCAACATATACAGAAGGAAGATCTATACCTGGATCTGTGAAACCCTAGTGTCTCTCACCCAGTTTCATGGATATTACAGTGATCCTGGCCCAAATAACTTGCAAGACCACCTACTCCCATATAGTCCTGTCTTTGTGCTTAGATTTTCAATGAGACAACTTTCTCAGGTCTTACAGTCATGTCTACCATCAACAGATGATGCAGCTTTTTCTGAGGTGGGTCCTAGATGATGGAACAACACGGGTTGGAGATGAGGTTGTCTCATCTCTATGTTATAATGTAGGAGGAGACTGGCTTAAAGCTTATCTTTTTAGGCAGGCCTTTTAGTTTGGGGAAAGTCATGTTAATGGTTTCACTGATTTTAGTTCTTACTTGGAATATTAAATCAACTATGTATTGGCTATAGCCACCTAGATCTATAAAATGGGAGTAGGCAGTGTACAATTTTGAAAAAGTAAATAAATGATTTCTGGATACAACTGTTAGTTGAAGGTCTCCAAGAAGAAGTTCCACTTAATTGATTACAAGAGTTTCCTGCCATGTAATCAGAAGTTCAGGAAATATACTTTTGCTATTGAATTCTTAGAATGGTCTTGTAAAGCTGACAAGGCTGAAAGACTCAAGTCACTCAAAAACAGTTTGTCACTTAGCAGGGATTTGAATTCTGGTCTCTACAGTCCATCTTCAATATTTCCTCCACCAGAGAAACCACGAGCTTTTCAAAAGCCATTCTGGATTATTCCCCTGGAGCAAAGCAGGTATCCATGGTTGGCTTGGCTGCTCCAGGAAGCTTAGTTAAAGCAAGACTTCCCAGATTATAATATTAAACGGAATACCACGTACATGTTTAATATCACATATATTATTTGATTTATCCCCTATACCTTCTGAAAGGAAGACAAGGTACCTGATAAATTGGAAAGGACTGGTATCATCTGTCTCCTGCACTCCACCAAACAAAACGTGGTTCGCAGATTTCAGCCCTTCAAAGAACACAAGCTGATCTTGTTCTTTGGCTGTAATGAGATTAACTCCCTACAAAAGAAAAAGAAAATGAAAAATTCATCTTTTCTGAACAACGAACAGCACTGCCCTGAGATTCTTAGGAAGAACCTGCTCGCTGGTTCCTTGGCCTCTTCTGCATTGACCCACCAACAGATGATGATCCTAAACATGATAAACCAGTTCTGTCCTCTAAATTTTGGCATCATAGATGATTAATGACTCCAAGAGACATCTTTCCATTGAATGATTGTCATAAAATGAAGCTTCACCAGCAAGCTTAAGGTTAAAAAAAAAACACCAGGCAGAAGCCACCCAATTTTAACAGTGGCTGCTTGTTTTTTTACAAAAGTATAGCTTATGCAGACAGTTCTCTGCTCTCATCCAGGCAATTTATTCCTTATAATGCCAAAATTTTCTCAGGGAAGAAGCCCAGTGTTAAGCAACCTTTAGTCTTAAGCAGTCTGAGAGAAACCTTTTGCAAATTAAAAATAGGAATGCCTATTCCTCTTCTGCATGGACAGAATTTCTTCACATTTTCAATTAATTTTCTACCTTTGCTGTAGCAGATGGTGATATGTAGAAGTTACGAGACACCATCTACTTCACCTTTCCTCAAACAGTCATCCTCTCTGTCTCGATATAGTAGAATTGCAGCTCCTGGGATTTTTAGTAAACATGCTAGTTAGGAATTTTGGAATCTGTAGTCCCACATCAGAAGGATAATGGTATGAAGAAGGCAAAAATCAGAAGAATTATACTTTTTAATAAAAATGTGTAAATAGGAAAAGGTGCCACCAGAATCTTCCTGACTGTTTAGACTGCTGGGTTCTTGGTGTTCTCTGGGCTTGGTTGTTTTCCTATAGACATTTTAGGACCAGATTGAGTAGCATGATTCCATACACAGATGTTATCTAGCCTCAGTACAAAACACCTGCAGGAAAGGAACCAAGCTCAGAGAATACCAAGAACCCGACAATTGAACCTCAAGCTACAGATATTATTTAGTACTGGAAATGTCTAGAATGGAGAAAGTTGATCTACTACAATGATAAGAAAATTCTGTACTAGGTTCCAACTGAGAATCAAAGAAAAGAAGCATTTTTGCCTATTAAGTACAGTTATGGCTAAGAGATCTATCTTATCTATGTATCTGTAAGAGTTATATCCTGCTTTTCCTAGAACCCCTTACTCCTCACAGCCACCTGCACAATCCACGTAATCGTATCAAGACTGTTCCCTCTTTTCACTCCACTTAAATCCCGGCTCCTAGCCCCAACGTGGTCAGACGAGAAGGAACAACAACACGACCAGGACGGGTGAGAAAATGACCTGATCCCAAAAGCTTTTTATGGATAGTGAAACTCACTCAACAGAAGGGTTTAATAGCATAATCCAATTCATGGCACAATGTAAGAGCCTCCAGGATTGAACAAGATGCATGTGGTACAAGAAGCATAGATGGTGACTGAGAGATAGATGATGATAGATGATAGACAGATAGAAGGCAGGCACAAAAGGGATCACTCTGTGCACAAGATTAGGGCTTTCAGATCCAGGCGTTATTGTTTTTTTATATTTGGTCAACTCAAGGCAGCGAACACCCCTAATCCTCCTGCCTCCTATTTTTCCCACAACAACCCCGTGAGGTGGACTGGACTGAGAGAGAGAGACTGGCCCAAAGTCACCCAGCCGGCTTTCCTGCCTAAGGGAGGCCTAGAACTGACCCTCTCCTGGCTTCTAGGCCAGCATCTTAACCACTATGCCAAACTGGCTCTCAGCATTGGCATCAACATCGTTTTCCCACAGTTTGGGGGATTTTGATTTTTAAAAGTTCTACCCTGATTGATACTTTTAAACAGCATCCTGAGAGTCCCAGCTCTGGCTGCAGCCCCATCTTGCATGACGAGAGGAGAACCGGGAGGCTATCCCAGACTGAAGAATACAGGGACTATTTTAATGCATACAATAAAATCCACCCAGCTTACCAGCTTTTGAGCCACAATGCTGTAATGGTTGAAGGACTGCACGACGGCGAGAAAACAGACCTTGCAGCCAGCTGGGAAAGAGGAAAGACACACGTTATCATCAAGACCATGCAAAATCCAGGTGCAGCCCCACTGAAAATGCCTCCTACAAAATGAGGGACTGGGCTCTGTCGGTCTCATCTTTGTCATCTGCTGAACCAAATCTAGCAGTTAACAATAATACAGGTAGTCCTCGACTTATGACCATTTGTTTCATGACTGTTCAAAGTTACAATGGCGCTAAAAAAAGTGATTTGTGACCGCTCCTCACACAACTGTTGCAGCATCCCTGCAGTCACATGATCACAATTCAGGTGCTTGGCAACCGGCATGTATTTACGATGGTTGCAGCATTCCGGGGTCATGTGACCACCGTTGCAACCTTTCCAGGGGGCTTCTGACAAGCAAAGTCAATGGGGGAGCTGTATTCACTTAACAATTACATCAAAAAAGGTCATAAAATCAGGCACAATTCACATAACAACCACATTGCTTAGTGATGGAGGTTCTGGTCCCAACTGCAGTCATAAGTTGAGGACCACCTGTAGTAAAGTCAGTTCCCAACGTTTAGTCACGTAAAATTTCAAAACTTCAGAAGGAATTAAAAGAATCTTCTCCAACCTGGCAATGTCCAGATCCCTTGGAAAATATCTATTGTCAATTCCATGCTAACTGGGGAAGTTGGGAATTTAAATCCAAGACGTCTGAGGACCCCAGTTAGAGAAAGATTGCACTGTCTCTATGGTTTAGGCTGCGATAAGGCCAGTTCTGTATGTGGGGAAGCTCTGGGCAAGATTTCAAAAAGTCCACAAGTATGATGTAAGCACTCACACCTCAAAGTATATTCTCCCACAAAAACGTGTACACAGCTTACATATTTTTAATTGTGAAAAGCAGATTAAGTGATCAAGATGATGCCTTCATCTGAACATAAGAAAATAGGTTCTGGAATAGCCATTTCCCTGCATACCTTTCAAATAGAAGGAGAGAAAGTGGTGGACCAGAAAGCTGGCATCTGTCTTGGTGGCGCAAAGCAGAGTCAACTTGCTCTGCAAAATAACACAAAGAGAGAAGAGACATGAGGCTCCAACAGCTGAAGATGCACAAAACGGCCCTGCCCTCCCTTTCGCTTCCAAGAATTGGCACTGGAACTCATATCATAATGGGACAATAACCCAACACATGACAGTTCGTTGTGGTGCAGCAGACAGACTTTCATCTGAAGGCAGTTTTGAACTTTCCTTCCAAACCTCATCTGTAGAGAAAAAGATCACTAAGTTGAAAAGCAAGAGACAACTGATGTTACTAAACAGGATGGTTCGTGAATGTTGTGTGAAGAAGTAATCAGAGCCACTATGTGGCAATGACAATAGATAGAACATCCAACCCAGAAATCATGAGCAGAAACGGGAGGAACAAATATGGAAACGTGGACAATCAGCACAGATCTGATTCATCCTTGGATAGGAGACCACCAGGGCCATAGGCTAAACTGGGAATTACAAGGAAATCTCAGAAGACAGGAGCAAATCACTCCTACATTGAGAGCAAGGAAGCTACTGTATGTGGATGCGTCCATGAAATCATCAGGAATCCGGCTTGCCCTGGAAACTTAATCTTGTCTCACTTGAAAATGAAGTGCCCGGGAAGCTTTGGAAGTGCAGCACCTCTCTACTATGCATGAAAGCAGCCACATCTTTCTTTAGCCACCTGCGCAAACATGCTGGTAATTGCAGCTACTTTAAGATTCTTGAAGTGTCTCATTAAGATAGCCACATCTTTTGTCAGGCTCACCTGGAGAAACCTGGAAATAAGACTGGCTGCTTTAACAACCAGCAGAGAGGGGCCTCTGCCAAATCCTTTGCGAAGCAGGCCCAGCACTATAGATTGGAATGATGGAAATTCCCAATCTTCAGTTTGGCAATAGGGCCAGCAAAATGTCACAAAAGTTCAAATTCTTGTATGGACACACTGTAGAAGGAAAGCCATATTAGTCTATAGTAGCAAAAAATTAGGAAGTTTTTAATAGGCTGCACAAAAACTGACACCTTGTAAAATAATTAGTTATTTGGAAAAGGTGCTCCCAGACTCTTTCTGATGTTTCGCATAGACCAGTGTTGTCCAAACTTGGCCACTTTAAGATGAGTGGACAACACTGGCATAGACCATCCCAGCTCTCTTCCGTTTTTATGAGGCCAAAATGCACCATTCCTGTAACCTCCTACTGTCGCACCAAGACGACAGTCGCGCCTTCTCTGTGGCAGCGCCTGCCCTCTGGACCGAGGTTCCTCCTGAGATCCGGATGGACCCCGCTCTGCTGTTGTCCAGAAGAGCCACGAAGGCCTGGCTCCTCACCCAGGCCTTTGGCGAGGGAGAGGGAGATCCCTCGCCTCATCGCGCTGGCCATCGTTTCTCTTTCATCGATTTGACTATAATTTCCTTTGGCTGTCGTGAGCCGCCCAGAGTCGTTGAGAGCTGGGTGACCTACAAGTTTAATAAATTACTATTATTGGTGGTGGTGGTGGTGGTGGTGGTGATGGAAGAATTTTCACACAGACAGGATGGCTCAGAGCAGGCAGGGGAGGCTGCATCATCCCCACGTGGTCCTCGGAGCTGCCTGAATTGCTGGCCTGGGATTCAGACCCACCTCTCTGGAGCTCTGGAGGCCCAAACTGAGCCCCGGGGCAGAGGGAATCGCCCTGCGCCATGCGCCCAAGGCCTCTGTCCCAGAGGGTCCAGCCTAGCGGATTCTGCTGCCTTTAATCCACTTGCCGTTCTCCACAGGAGATTTAGATACAGAAAGTCAAGCTCCTAGCAGATCATGCTTGGAGCCTTCCCCAACCTGACGCCCGCCTCCAGAGGGGCTGGACCATTGCTTCTCAACCTCAGCAAATTTAAGATGTGTGGACTTCAACTCCCAGAATTCCCTGCTGGCTGGGGGATTCTGGGAGTTGAAGT